CCCTCTGTCAAGCTCCTGAAGTTTGCAGATGACACTACAGTCATCGGCCTCAACAAGGATGGAGACGAGTCTGCTTACAGACAGGAGGTTAAAGAGCTGGCTGTCTGATGCAGTCTTAACAACCTGGAGCTGAACGCGCTCAAAACAGTGGAGATGATAGTGGACTTCAGGAGAAAGCCCCTGCACTCCCCCCGCTCACCATCATGGACAGCACTGTGGCTGCAGTGGAGACAATCAGGTTCCTGGGCACCACCATCTCTCAGGACCTGAAGTGGGACACTCACAGACTCCACTGTTAAAAAGGCCCAGCAGAGGTTGTACTTCCTTCGCCAGCTGAGGAAATTCAACCTGCCACAGGAGCTGCTGAAACAGTTCTACTGTGCTATCATTAAGTCTGTCCTGTGTTCAGGGGCGTGTCTACGTGGTGGCTGGGGGTGGCACCGCCCCCCCCCTGAAATTTGGCTGGCCACCCCAGGTGCCCCCCCCTACCAGATGTCTTGAGATAGGCTTGCGTGAGGACGAATCTCTCCACTCTCACTTGTTTAGTGAGTGTAAACGATGTATTATAACATACATCGTTCCGCAAACACACTATATTCAGCCTGATCAATTAAACTTCCATAATCTTACATCGTCCATCACAACTGACATATACACAGAACGGCACACTTTGTAAATAACATATCTGTACATTTATAACATATCTGTACATTTATTTGAACAACTAAGTTTTTTCCCTTTGCTTCTACTCTGTATATACATTATTTAATTATGTTTTTTTTCTTATATTAGTGTTATATTCCATCCCTACTGTGTTATTTCTATGCATGTCTGCACTATGTCTGTACTTTTTTTCTACACTGGAAGCTCCTGTCGTCAAGTCAAATTCCTTGTGTGTGTAAACATACTTGGTAATAAAGCTCTTCTGATTCTGATCATTAAGTTACATTAGATCAGATAATGGTCAGATGTATTAAAGTTAATTAAAACAACAGCAGTTGAATTTTTTAAATCAAAAGTATGTCCAAATCTGTTTGGAGATTTACATTTTGGAAATGTATTACCACACACTTTTGAAAATATACCAAAGATATTTAATAAAAACTATAAAGTTGAGTCTGCTCCGCAGCTAATGTCAGTGTAGTGTTGTTTATCTGCACTAGAGGGCGCTGTGAGCAGCAGGTTGAGCAGCAGCGCTGATACTCGCGGCTCTCGCCGGGTTCAGTGGCGGCGCCTGTAATCCAAGCTACCGGGAGGCTGAGGCTGGCGGATCGCTTGAGTTCAGGGCTTCTTCTGGGCTGCAGTGGACTATGTCGATCGGGTGTCCGCACTAAGTTCGGTATCGATATGGTGCTCCTGGGGGAGCTCGGGACCACCAGGTCGTCTAAGGAGGGGTGAACCGGCCCAGGTCGGAGACGGAGCAGGTCAAAGCCCCCGTGTCGATCAGTAGTGGGATCGCGCCTGTGAATAGACACTGCAGCGCAGCCTGAGCGAGACAGCGAGACCCAGACTTTTGCGTTTGTATCCGCATGATGACAGTGAAAGAAACATTTAGAGATTAAAAATATGATTAAAAATTAAATAATAATAAAATCGTTTCACGCTTGCCAACTACAAATAATGACATTGTCTCACTTTCAAATTTGTAACATTTTTATTTTTTTTCAGCAGTGCCATTTGCGGCGTTGCACTTGTTTGTTAACATTAGGGACACTACTGTATGTCATGTCAAATGATTGGTACTATATCGCCTCTCTCTGGAAGATATGTGATATTTCTGTTCGTATGCAGCGTCTGCATTTCTTGACCAGACGGAGGCGCTGTTTCACACTTTAAATCATTAATGTTTTAACCATAGACTGTAAAATATTTTAAATATCTCTTGACTGAGCAGGCCCAGTGTCTGCACACTGAATCATCATTAATTATAATTCAGTCGTATGTAATATATAGGTTTAACTGACAATTTAAAATGATTATAGAAAAATTAAAGAAAGATCAAACTAATACAATTAAATTTAAGCCAGTGTAAAAAACAATCTTGCAAAATACTTGCTTAATCTGGACACTGTACTTGCTTTGAAAAGTAAGTACCAAAAGTAAATTTGCTTTTTTATTTCAATGCACTGTTTTATTATTGTTGTAATACTTGCAACCTTATGCCTCTGAAGCAACTTACAATACATTACAGCTACTGAATACACTGACTGTATACACTGAAGTGAGTTCACGAAAACACCTCCACAAAAGCAGCATGGTAGTGATCTTACACAGCTCTGGCAGCATGAGCACACATCTACGTGATGATTTTCATCCACATTTGAACCAAGTGGACAGTGAAATTGCTGTAAATACAGACTGATAAAAAACAAAAAACCCTGCTTTAAAACCCAGCAACACAACTGTAGCTGTATAACTTTACAACAGCAACTTTGCTCTTGCATATCAGCTACAAAGCTGCTGAGCAAGAAAGAGTGCAATGATCTCTTGGGCAAGAACGTTCTAATCATCTTATTCATGTTTCAGAATGTTGCCTTGCAGCTTCCTATCATTTTCCATTTTAACTGCCTGAGTTTCTCCTCTTCTTTTTCACATTTTCTTCTTTTTCTCTCAAACACTCCCTCCTCATCTGCAACTCTTGAAAACAACACATAAGACGGAGCTCAAAAACACTACACTTATTTAAACCGGGACAGCTAAAATGTATTTAGTAGTTATTTTTTACAACCACCTCTTTCCACAAATCACATCGCTCTTGGTGAGCTTGATGTCACTATTTGTTAGAAATCATTAACAACGGTCCCTCTAGATTCTCTTTGCCACCTCAGATATTCTCAATCCCTCAAAGTGGATATAACGGCCGGGAAGTAAGAAAACACACATTCATATGTATTCTCAATACTTCAACTTTATTCATAGATACAAAGATATTATATAGGCATATGTCGAGGGGAGTTTCAACCCTTTAACCAATGAGGATATAGATGACATACATATAGGATCTTTGGCCAAGAATATGTGTTTATATAAAATGGCCATATGAACAGAAAAACATGGACATATTAGGAATAGACTTTTGCGAAGGATGCTAAACTATCTTCATGGTTTCATCACGAACCTCATTCCTAGCTATCATGTCCTTATTCAGACATTTGAATCAAGAGAAGCTAATGTATACATTTGCGCATGCATAGCTCGAATGTGA